TTGCCTTTGGAGTTCACTCTTGTTCCTATTGATTCAGGAATAGAGGAGGAGGTACCCTGCTGGGAGGGTCCAGCTTGTCATTTTCATTGGTGATTTGGCTTCCTCTCTCTTCATCCAGGCCAGCTCCCTTGTACCCCTCAGAACAATTCAGTGTGTCCCTACAGACACTTCCTATACTCATGATCCTGACTTTAGAAGCAAATATGAGAGTTTGTATGCCTGGCATAAATAAGCATTCAATAGCACTAGCAGTAGTGGACAAATTTTGTGCATCCAGAGAGGTATCCCCTTTTATGAGTACCTCAGATCCTAAGCCACAACTGTCCACGGTGGGCATGTGCCTCAAGTCAGGCCTTTCAGAATCCTTCCTGGGTTATTTCAACTGGAACGGGGTAAAAAGGACCTATTTTTTCTCTTCCCAAGGCCGTAAAAGATATGAACCCATGACTAATGGCAGATGCATCTTCTGCCTTGCAGAAAATCTGGTCTGAGAATGAGTGGAGAGAAAGTCAACAGCCCTGCAGTCCCTGAGTTCATCCAGCCCCATATCATCTTCCTGTAGTTCATGAGCCAGTACATTTCTCCTTTCTTCTCAAGTAGGTTGCTGTCTCTTGCAACCCAAATTATTCTGGCTGATGCATCTTTTATCTGGAATTACCTTGTCATTGAAAGAATTTGTCAAGCTCATTGTTTCTCTTTCTCCTCATGGGCATACTCTCTGCAGAGTCATTCTCTAAAATGAAATTTTAATCACTTTTTAAAAAAAATTAATGTTTATTTATTATTGAGAAACAGAGAGAGAGAGAGAATGAGCATGGGAGGGGCAAAGAGAGGGAGAGACACAGAATATGAAGCAGGATCCAGGCTCTGAGCTCTCAGTACAGAGCCCCATGTGGGTCTCGAACTCACAAACCACTAGATGATGACCTGAGCTGAAGTCAGACGCCCAACCGACTGAGCCACCCAGGCACCCCAAATTTTAATCACTTTTATGAACACACCACACATGAATAGATTACTACACATCCTTGACACTTTCAACTCAACTACCATGTATTGAATACCTATTAGGTCCAGGACAACTGGCTTTCATCTGGACTAGGTGAACTACATGGAAATTGGCTATGCTTATACTGCAAAATAAACAAGCCATAACTTCTTCGTGCTCTTGTCGCTGAAAAGGAAAAGAAACTCTTGGGTTGATCAATGATGGCTGCAACTTCTGGAATATATTAAATGCCATGTAGCTGCTGGATTAATTATCTGAGAGCTTGAAGGACATTTTGACTATTATAAGAGTTAAAAAGAAATAGATGTGTTGGGTATAATGACTTTGCTCTCATTGAAATTACTCACAAGAGACAACTGTTCCCATTAGGGACACCTTGAGTTGGTGACTTCCTATATTAATAGTTGATGTGACTGGAGGGCATCAGTTTTTACTCAGCCTATGTAGGTGTGTACCACAACTCAAACTAATTTAGTCAACACTCAAATTAGTGCTGCCAAGAATTAGATTTTTCAATTAAACAGCTAAGAATGACTAGGGGCACCTGGGTGGCTCAGTCGGTTGGGTGTCCGACTTTGGCTCAGGTCATGTTCTCACGGTTCATGGTTCGAGCCCCGCGTCGGGCTCTGTGGTGACAGCTCAGAGCCTGGATCCTGCTTCAGATTCTGTGTATCCCTCTCTCTGGCCTTCCCTTGCTCATGCTCTGTCTCACTCTCTCTCTCAAAAATAAATAAACATTAAAAAAAAAAGAATGACTTGTAACTAGTTTACAAATAATGTTTATGGTTGATTTATTAAATGATACTATTGAGTTTGAAAATAGCCTTTTTCATAGGTAGGTTATATATATTTAACTTGAAACCCAATTTTCACAGAAAGTAGGAAAAAATGTATTTCATCTTAGTTCACTGCCCAAATTTTCACAAATTGCCTACTCAAAAGATCAAAATTACAGAGAGAGTGATAAATGGTAAATTACCTGAATAGAGTGTTGGGTTGGAAATCTGAAATCCTAAGTTCTTGTCTTAGTTCTGTCCATAAATTACTTCAATTACTCAGAGCTTCAGTTTCTTCATCTGTATAATGGTAGGATTGGACTACATAATAACTGTCATTTATTGTGCTATTACTATAAGCTAGACATTATACTAGGAGCTTCATGTACATTATTATACTGTCATTTATTTCTCCCATTAATTCTTTAATAGGTGATATTTTTAATCTCTAATTCTGCACACATAAATAAACTGAGATTCAGAGAGATAAAGAAATTTTCCTAAGACCACACAGAAAGTAGGAGGAGAATAAAGATTCAAACTGGATTAGACCAGGTTCCAGGTCAGAGCCTCACACATAACCATTATTTCATACTTCTCTCAAAGATTCTTTCATCTTTAAAGTACTTTTCTTCTATTTCTATGTAGCATCTATTTCAGGATGAACAAGGTTTCCTCTTTATCTTAATGTATTTAGACCAGATTGTGGCAGTTAATGTCCAGTTAATCCAATTGTAATAAAAAGTGATCTTGGACCTATTTATTCAATTATTACCAGCTCAGAACTAATTTTCAGCAAAATTAAGATCCACTAGTCAAGAAAACACAGATGGCACCTGATTCCACAACTTATTCTCCAGTTCATTCTGACCATATTACTTTTTCTTAGGCACAAACTCTGTTTAGAAGGCAAATTTTGTACTGAAAGAAAAATTAACTATTCTTGGCTTCTGTCAATTGAGTAAAATCCTCAGCCAAACACCTGTTTTTTTTTTTCCCCTGGTCTCCAATCCTTTGACTCCACCCCAGCCACCACAAACAACGTCTGACCATGTGGTCTGACTCTTGTTATGATGGTGGCAATTTTGATTCTACCCCAGTTCTTCCAAAAAGGAGGTTGAGATTCCAAGCAAATCTATCAACAAGCTCATATTTATCTCCTAGAGTGTTCTTAACTCCTTGAGGAGCTGAGGGTTGGAATTGCAAAGAAATGTAACATGTGGCCCATTGCCTTGTAGGGGCTGCAAATGGTGGGGGCACAAATGAAGCTGCTGGAGATAGAGAACAGTGTAGAATGAAGGGTAAATTATATGTTAGGAAGTCTTATCCGCCATGGTAGAAGTGAAAGCCGAAACCAATGGTCAAGGGCTGGGCTGGGGAAGAGGTATAGGCAAAACTTGGGTCTGTCAGAGAGAAGGGTCTTTCTACCTAAGAGGAGTGAGAGAGCCCTGGTGAAGGTGATAGATGTCCACTAAACTTATTTGGTAATCATTTCACAATATACACATATGTCAAGTCATTATGGTATACATCTTAAATTTATACAGTGTTGTGTATCAATTATGCTTCAGTTTCAATAAAACTGAAAGGAAAAACAAGCAAGTAAGACAACCACAATGACTAATAAAGAAGGGAATGAACATGATATGCTATAGCACTGTGAGGAGACTTTCTGTGCTGAGCAGACCTCTAATCAAAACCTCTAGGGGCGCCTGGGTGGCTCAGTTGGTTAAGCATCTGACTTCAGCTCAGGTCATGATCTCATGATTCGTGGGTTCGAGCCCCACATCAAGCTCTGTGCTGACCGCTCAGAGCCTGGGCCCTGCTTTGGATTCTGTGTCTCCCTCTCTCTCTGCTCTTCCCCGACTCACATTCTGTCTCTTTCTCTCAAAAATAAATAAACATTAAAAAAAAAAAAAAAACACCTGGGGCGCCTGGGTGGCGCAGTCGGTTAAGCGTCCGACTTCAGCCAGGTCACGATCTCGCGGTCCGTGAGTTAGAGCCCCGCGTCAGGCTCTGGGCTGATGGCTCGGAGCCTGGAGCCTGTTTCCGATTCTGTGTCTCCCTCTCTCTCTGCCCCTCCCCCGTTCATGCTCTGTCTCTCTCTGTCCCAAAAATAAAAATTAAAAAAAAAGTTGAAAAAAAAAAAAACACCTGTAGTTAAAAACTGGAAAATTCCATCAGAAAGTTTCATTGAGAACAGAAACCACTTTTTTTTTTTTTTGCTTATTACCCTGTACCTAAAACAATACTCAATACAGAGTAATTATTCAACTATTTATTTAATGAATAAACAAATTACTTATCTACTTTTTTTTTCATTTTAGAGAGAGAGAGAGCACAAGCAGGGGAGAGACAGAAAGAATCCTAAGCAGGCTCCATGCTTAATGTGGAGTCCAATGCAAGGCTTGATCCCATGACCCTGGGATCATGACGTGAGCTGAAATCAAGAGTTGGATGCTCAACTGACTAAGCCACCCAGGTGCCCCTTATCTACTTCCAATACCTAAATGCTATATTTGTTTTTTTAATTTTTAAAAATATTTTTACTTATATTTGACAAAGAGAGAGAGGGGCAGACAGAGCTTGAGCAGGGGAGGGGCAGAGAGACTGAGACAGAATCTGAAGCAAGCTCCAGGCTCTGAGCTGTCAGCACAGAGCCTGATGTGGGACTCAAACCCATGAGCAGTGAGATCATGACCTGAGCCGAAGTCAGAAGCTTAACCAACTGAGCCACCCAAGCGCCCCCCCACCAAGTGCTGTATTTCATGTAGTCCTGTGCCTCTCAAAGTATGGTCCCTAGACTAGCATCATTGACACCACATAGTACCTTGCTAGAAGTGAAAGTTCTCAGGCTCCACTCCAGACATGTTGAGCCAGACATTCTAGAGTTGGGGTCTAGCAGTCTGTGTTTTAACAAGCCCTCCAGGTGATCCTGATTCAGGCTAAAATTTGAGAACCACTGATATAGGCCAAAGCTTAATTATGGCAATTTTACTACTGCCTCTAAAACTCAAGATACTTCTTCTTCTCTTACCTTCTCTTCTCTTACTTGCTTTAGAATGGAGGGAAATGGGAATATTAAACCAGAACCAAAACCAAAAAATACAGTCAGGTAATATCTGAAACAGCACTGATAGTGAAATCTTTGTATTTTAAAGAACATAATTATCTATATTCAAATAAATAACACATATATTTATCCATTTATCCAGGCCGTTACTCAACTACCATGTGGAAGTGTCTCTGACAGGAAGAGGAAGCAGGACCTCCAACCTGGGTGAGGTAATGCTACTCAAAAATCAAATGATGAGGTCCCAGTTAAGATGGCTGCCTGACCCAAGTATTTCCCCTGCCTTCCAAAAGCCCAATTAAATGATTGCAAAAGAATAGCCCAGAAGAACAAAGAGAATGGGAAGAACACCAAGATAATACCAAAGATTTCAATTAATTTCTGAAAAACTGAAGAGGACAGAAGACTGTGGGACCTTCTTGGACCATCTCGAGTGTACTTGTATTCCTGTTAGTAAATCCCGGGGCAGATTTGTGAGGAGCTGGGCCTGAAAGTTTAGCAAGGCTCTCTCTATTCCATAAGTTAATAAGCCTCCTTCACAATATTTCATAGAATTAGAGAATTTGGAAGGGACATTAGAAATTGCATTTCTAAACTCTGCATTGAATTGGTGAAGAAAATGAGGCATAAGGAAAGTAGGAGACTGCCCTCAGTAACCCACTAGTAACTAGCAGACCTGAGATAATTAACCATGTATCTTTCCCAGTACACGTCCCACCATATTCCACTGCCTGTGTCAGATGGCCAGGATTGCCAAGGCATTCTATCACTTAGTCCCTTTTATCTTTCCAGTTACATGTACCTCTATCACACTATTGCATGAGGCATGGAAGAAAATACTGAGCCAGGGGTCAGAACACAAAAATGCCTCAGCTCTGTTCCTGATTAACTGTGTTGATTCATTCATCTGCTTTGTATTTGTGGGGGTATATGGTGTGTTAGGGAGTGGAGTGGACAAATGGAGATGGGGTTTTTAATGTATATTTTTAAGGTTTTCTTTTTAATTAAAAATTATATACAGGAATGTTATTCAGTTATGAAAAAGAGAATGAAATCCTGCCATTTGCAACAATATGGATGGACCTTGAGGGCATTATGCTAAGTGAAATGAGCCAGACAGAAAAAGATAAACACTGTATGATCTCACCTAAATGTGGAGTCTAAAACAAACAAACAAACAATGGAAAAATAAAACAACAAACAAACAAAAAAATCAAACTCATAAACACAGAGAACAGATTGGTGAGGGGGTGGGTGAAATGGGTTGAAGGGGGTCAAAAGGTACAAACTTCCAGTTACAAAATAAATAAGTTCTTGGAATGCAATGTACAGCATAGTGACTATATTGCATTGCATATTTGAAAGTTGCTAAGGGTAGATCTTAAAAATTCTCATCACACACAAAAAGCATTTGTAACTATGTGTGGTGATGGGTGTTAACTAAATGTATTGTGGTGATCATTTATATATATATATATATATATATATATATATATATATATCTCATTTATATATATCATATATATGATTTATATATACATTATATATATAAGGTCTAAGGTGAATACAATGTTATATGTTCATTAGATCTCAATAATAAATTAATTATTTAATGTATACTCATTACATTAAATGAGCTCTATCACAGTACCATGAATAAATTATTCTTTAATATTTGCAAATCCTTTGGGATTCATTTCTTTTTGTGCTTTGTTTAATACCCAGCTTAATAACCTTATGAATTTATCAAATAATTAGCATTTCTTTAATCCTTAAACAATCAATATTCCTTTCAATATTTGTACATACCTCAAAACTAAAAAAATTGAAAACATATGTAGCTATCAAGTTAAAATTTCCCAAATATTTAAATATTGATTGCTGATGCAAATACTTATAAACATTTGGTTAAAACTACAGTTCTACTGGGACACCTGGGTGGCTCAGTCAGGTAAGCATCTGACTCTTGATTTTGGCTCAGGTCATGATCTTACAGTTTGTGAGATCAAGCCCTATGTCAGGCTCTGTGCTGACAGTATGGAGCCCACTTGGGATTCTCTCTCTCTCTCTCTCTCTCTCTCTCTCAAAAGAAATAAATAAACATTTAAAAAACCCCACAATTCTGGGGCGCCTGGGTGGCTCAGTCAATTGAGTGTCCGACTTCGGGTCAGGTCATGATCTCATGGTCTGTGAGTTCAAGTCCCGCGTCGGGCTCTGTGCTGACAGCTCAGAGCCTGGAGCCTGTTTCAGATTCTGTGTCTCCCTCTCTCTCTGCCCCTCCCCTGCTCATGCTCTATCTCTGTCTCTCAAAAATGAATAAACATTTTTAAAAAACCCAAAATTCTACCACAATAAACTATCCTTAGCATTTAAACCCTTAAAAAGAAGACATGAATACTATTAAAAAGCTGATCTATACCTTGAAACAAAAACTAGTTACTGTAATGTTAATATCTTAGATTGAAATACCATTACGTTATTTGTATCACTTTCTAGGTTTGCCTTCCAAAAGTTACAGTAATTTTGTATTTTTATATCTCCACTGACCAAAGGAAAAGGACTCAGTTATGGTATCTGAATAATCAAAAAATTGACACTTGACCTGTTGGCAGCATCTAAGGGAGTTCTTATTCTCTGGTTTTTCAACCAAGTTTCTTTTTACAAATATGTTTCGCTTATTACATCATAGGAGTTTTAATTTTTGGTCTTTCATCTAGATTTAAGATTTTTAAACCTAGTGCCTTTCTGTAATGATTTCTTCTTTAATTGGGCATGCCTGGCAGAACCTCACTCATGGTCTTGCCATTTTGAGATACTGATTTAGCCTCTTAGCATTACTGAAAATGACTATAAACCTTACTTGAATATAAACCTTGTGTTTTATTATACCATCTAGAGCAAGCAGAACGCTGCAACCAGCCTACTATGCCATTCACCATGGCTACACATGAATCACAGGGGGACCAAGACAGAGCCCCCCCCCCACCCCGTACCCTGAATTGCTTGGAGACTCAGTGCTCAGGAGCCCAAGGGGAGGGCGGCCTCATACTGTGCCACGAATTAATGTGTCATTAGACAAATGTTACCCTTTCTACATGTGCCATGAAATGAAAAGTTTGGGAAGTACAGATTGGGACAATTCATCTCCAAAGAGAGAAGGGATTGAGTCTGCGTGGCCAATGTGCTTTTCTAGGACAAGAAGCTAATTCATCCTTAATTCATCTTGGCTAAGGGAAGCCCCTTTAAGTTGGCTCTTTTGTTCTTTGATCATCACCTCTGGCATTTTATAGAAGTTTGCACACTGTCTGGCTGCATGGACTGTCCCAGACCCATCCTGACTTTTCCCTGAACCCTAAGATATGAAATCAACTACCTTTCAAAGGATCTTGAAGTCCTTTAATGGAGGAAAGTAAGAGAGACTCAAATCTGAGCACTAACAATGCACAATGAGAAAGGGTGGTGAGAATACTAAGTAGAAGAACTGGATAATACAAGTGCATTTTTAAGGAAGGCATGAGTTTACATAGAACTTTGTATTTTGGTGTGGTGTGTTTCCATAAGCTACTTTTCCTACTCTATATGGTGTTATCTTCCACTGATACTCCCTTCTCCACTGACAATAGCAGCAACAACATTCTATGATCCCATTATCCACCCCCATCACCCAAAATTAGTACTTTGTTATAGGTCTTGTAGGCTTTTTTTTTAAGTCAGTATTTTCATCTTGAAAATAGGAAGGATTCTCCAATGTAACAGGTAGTTGAATGGATTAAATGAAATATTATTTTAAAAAAAACCCATGAAAATAAAAACTATTTTTATTAACTACCCCTACTATTGTACTCATAGATGTTTTTCTCAGGGTTCGTAGAACACATCTATATTTTCCCATTTCATCATCTTTGCTCATGATGTCCTCTGCCGCTATAATGCCCATTCTCAGTTAGTACCTGCTGAGACCAGGCCCAGCTCAAATGATGCGGCCTCTAGGAGTGTTCCAAGGCTTCCAGGAGAGATGAGTCCTTTCTTTTCTGTGCTTCAGGGGTGTGCCAATAATTCTGCTTTTTAAAATCACTGGATTAGGTGATTTGTGTACAACATCCATCTCATCTAATAAAACTTGTGGAGTTCAGAGATCATGTTTTATATACCAAGAGCTTCATGCAAAGCCTTGTGCAAAGTAAACAAGACATGTTTGCTGAATTAAATTGAATACTGCTGGTTGGGTTACATCACTGACTCATTTCCTATTATTGTACAATTAAACAGACCCAAAGAGCTATGGATGAGTAGGATGAATAATTATTTAAAACACTAGACTTACTCTGATAAGATTGCAGTTTCCTAGAACTGAACAAGTGTGGGTTTAAACTGCAGAACAGAATCACCTAAGAGACTTATTATAGCTGTAGACACTCAGGTTCTACCGAAAACTCAGTGAATGAGGATCTCTGGTGCTGGAGCCAAGCAATCTGCATTGTTGACATTTGCACAGCCACGTTTGAGAACCACCAGGTAAGAAAGCCAGGCCCTCATCTCATCCATCACAGAACGTTACTCAGTAGACCCTGGTCTACACACCTTCCAGTGGCCCTTTGCAAAGTCTTCAAACAAGGTGCTGCTGATATGAAGGTAGACGGATCTCCCAGCATGGGTACCAAGGTCTGTGTGACAAAGCCAGGAAGGAGGGCCTTTTGAATTTGTAATACTATCAGGGTGCCTGGGTGGCTCATTCAGTGAAGCAACCAACTCTTGACTTTTTTTAATATTTATTTTTTATTTTTTTTAACGTTTATTTATTTTTGAGACAGAGAGAGACAGAGCATGAATGGGGGAGGGGTAGAGAGAGAGGGAGACACAGAATCAGAAGCAGGCTCCAGGCTCTGAGCCATCAGTCCAGAGCCCCACGCTGGGCTTGAATTCACAGTTGGCGAGATCGTGACCTGAGCTGAACCTGAGCTTAACCAACTGAGCCACCCAGGCGCCCCAATATTTATTTATTTTTGAGAGAGAGAGACAGAGACAGAGACAGAGACAGAGAGCAAGTGAGGTAGGGGCAGAGAGAAAGGGAGACACAGAATGCAAAGCAGGCTCTAGGCTCTGAGCTGTTAGCACAGAGCCTGACGAACTCATAAACTGTGAGATCATGACCTGAGCTGAAGTCGGACTCTTAACCCATGGAACCACCCAGGTGCCCTGCGACAAACTCTTGATTTCTGCTAATGTCATGATCTTGCGGTTCGTGAGACTGAGCCCCATGTTGGGCTTTGCACTGACCACGGAGCCTACTTGGGATTTTCTCTCTCCCTCTCTTTCTGCCCCTCCCTTGCTCATGCTTGCTTGCACTCTCTCTCAAAATAAATACATAAACTTTTAAAAAAAAACAACCCACTGCAATGAATCGTAATATTATCTCATAGCTCCCAGTGGAGCAGCTCTGTCCATGTAACCGAGGAATACTAAAATGGATGTGTGATTTGGCCCCAGAGTAGGTAGATTTGATTCCCAGCATCATTATATGCTGACTGTGTAACCAAGGGCAGGTTGGTAAGTCTTTCTGAGTTTTTGTTTGGTTGTCTGTAAAATGGAAATGTGAGAACCTCCTTCGCTCTCAAGAATGTGATGAGGACTTTGTGAGAGGCAATGTCCTACGTAAAAATGTTTTATTAAATCTCAAGTTGGTCTTTATTATTATTTTCGATGTATGCACCAGTGTAAAAGGTTCACTTACAGAGAATTTATTTCACTTCTCCCAGCTTCTCCCTGCTGGTTAAGTGGCCCCAAGCACAGCTGCACCGCAGAAAAAATGATATCCACAGGGCACCTGGGACCTGCCCCCTGACTAGTCACAGTGCACATTAGGAGTAACTGCTTGGTCCCTCTGGTTTTCAGCCACAAAGAGAGTTAAGTTACCCATTTACATAGATGAGAATGATCCATGACCCAAGCCACGATCGTGTCTCTGCTGTCCACTAACATGGCCCTGCTTTAAAGGGTGTTGAGCTCTGCTGTTGTCACATGCCTGGCCCAAT